CACACACCCTCAGTTTATTTCCAACTTTTCCATAAGCTTCATGACCTAGATGCTTCAGTGTAAACAAACTCTTTTCTGTGAAACTAGAAAGTGATTTGGTGGCCTGCAAATTCAAGGAGCTTACTTAAACCCATTAAGAATTGCATTATCTTTAAGAGACTATCTCTCATGAAGCTGTTCATGCATAATACATGTAGAAATACCAGGGGTGCCAAACAAACGTATACAAGTCGATACTTTCAACGTTGCTCAAGCTGTAATTCTCCGTAATCAGAAGTGTCTGGATGCTGATGGGAACCACTTTGAGCACCTCTTGTAATTGCAGAAGTCAAATGTGACTTGTATTCATCTTTTGTTATCGGTACATATTATTATAATTTTAATACAGTTTTCCTTTCTTAAAACATGTATACATTTGTTTGGCACCCTCTATATATCTGTATGATATATTTTGTTCAGGAAATTCAAATTACCTACTATTTGAACTGTACTAATGCAGTTTATGAGATCCTTTAACATCCGTAAACTCACCAGGTCACTTTATTTTTGTATTAAAACATGTATTTTATAATTAGGTCCCTTTAAGCCTATGCGTGGGGCCTCATTTTATCATTTTTTAAAATTGGAAACTGAGGCACAGAGGTTTACTAACTTAATCAAGGCCGCCTGGTTCTAAATTGGGTTGACATTGACTCTAAGAAATCCAAAAAACCAAGAAGGCTGAGGGCCCCCATATAACTTTAGGATGGGGCCTGATGGCCAGAAAGACCAAAGCATGATTATGGAACTTTCAGCCCTACCCCGATCTCCAAAGAGGGGAGAGGGCTGGAGATGGAGTTAGGTCATCAACTGCCAATGATTTAATCAATCATACTTATGTAATAAAATCTCCACAGAAACTTCTAACTAGTGGAGTTCACCACCCCAACTCCCCATCACCATGGGGATAGAAGCTTCTGTGCTCGGGACCCTCCCAGGCCTTGCTTCGGCTATTCATTGTATCGTTTATAATGAAATAGTAATAGTAAATAAAGTACTCAGTTCCTGAGTTCTGTGAGCCATTCTAGCAAATTCTCAGACATGAAGAGCAGGCCATGGAAGCTCCTGATTTATAGCCAGTTGGTCAAAAGTACAGTTGACAACCCAGGACTTGCAACTGGCTTGTGAAGTGTGTTGGGCGTTGGGGGGTGGGGGTCAGTCTTGGGGGACTGAGCCCTTCACTTGTGGGCTCTATGCTAACTCTGGGTAGTTTGTGTCATAATTACACTGAATTGCAGGATGCCCAGCTGGTGTCCGGAGAGTTGGAGAATTAGTTGGTGTGGGGAAAAAACAAAAACAAAAAACCCCACACATTTGGTGTCAGAAGTGTTGTGAGTAAACGCAGGTTGCCCTATATCACCAGTCCACGGAGGCAGAGGCTGGTTTGCAGGCTTCCACAGCACAGCCAAGTTCAAGGACTAAACTTGACCCCCAGTGAGCTGACCAAGAGGAATAACAACCCAGTCAAGGGGGCTGTAAATTAAAACAGTCATAAACAAGAGCACAGGAGGAAATCCAAATACGGTGTACAAAGCACTTTTTAAGAGCTAAGTCACATGACTTTTTTGAACTTAAGAAACTCAGTTTATAAGTTAAAGGAGAGTAGGGTCTCTACTGAGACGCAAATTAGCAGTCTGGGAGAGCAAGTGAAAAAACAAAGAGCGACGTTTTAAAGAGATGGACATCTGTGGGGAAAGGCAAGAGAGTTGGAGGATACCTCCTGAGGAACGAACACACATAACAGGAATTCTGAAAGGAGAAGATGCAGCAGATAAACAAGTAGAAGAAAGTTCCCTGAAATTGCTAACGACCCAAGATTGGAGATTGAAAAGGCTCCCCAGGTTCCAGGTTGGTCCGATGAGATAAGATTGACATATGGGCATCTTCCGGTAAAATTCCTGAACCTTAAAGATAAAGAAAAATATCTTCTTGCCAACTTGGGCCAGTGAAGCAACATCCTCCACAACTAAACTGAAGAACAAAAGGACAGCAACTTGTCTGTTCCCTTTCCCCCAATTCCCCAGCACTGTTCCCATCCCTCCAATTCCCCAAAAAAAAAAAAAAAAAAGAAAAAGAAAAATATCTTCTAAGTGTCAAGCAGAAAGCAGAAGAAGGAAAAAAAATCAGACTGGAACCAGGTTTTACATCTCTGCTACTGGAAGATGACAGTGGTATTGTACTGGCAGGTAAGAGAGAGGAAGGACTGCAACCCAAAAAACCCTCTATCCAGTTTCCAAAAACACTTTTCATCTATTGAGGCAAAAGGAAGATAGTCTAGAAGACCCAAGAATTCACAGAGGAGACTTTGCAAGGAATTTCCCTGAGGAAAGACTAGTCAAACCACAACTGAACCTTAAAAGAAAACTTAAGAAGGGGGAAGAAGAAAGAGAGAGAAAGCGGTATTAAGAACGTAGCCTGTGACGTTTCACATTACATGGATCAAGAAAGGGACTTGTGTAACAGAGAAGGACTTTTGAAACCACACAGACATCCTCCAAGGAAATTCTAACAAATACTAGATCATCCCAGGCAAACCTCAGGGATTGGTGAGTGGGGTGGGAAGCAAAAGTGTTTCCTGGGTTTCAGCAGGGAACATGTGGGAGGGAAGGAGGAAGAGGGGGGAGTGAAAGTGCTCTAAAGGTCTCATCTTATTGGGGTGAGGGAGAGGAAGAGGAAATAGATCAAAGAGCCAGGAGACGTTAGTTATACGCCTCTGATTATCAGAGTAAGGAAATTCATCACAAAGGAAATGGGGAGATTGCTTAGCCAAGCCTGGGAACTCTGAAGTTCTGAAAGAAAAGATGGATGTATTTGACTATATAAACATGAAAACATTTTGTATGACAAAGGATACCATAAATAAAGCCAACTGAAATGGTGGAGCTGGAAAAATATTTGTAATCTAAATAATAGTCACCAACTGCGATTGATGAGCTCATGGTGTGCCAGGCACCACTTTATTAATATTTACTTTACAGGTATTAATACATTTATGTCTAGGACAATGCTATGAAGTAGGGGAGACGATGATGATGATCGCTACTTTACAGATGAGTAAACTGAGGCATAACCAGGTTATAGGACTTGCCAAGGTCACATGGCCAGTCAGGGGCCGAGGTCTGAGGTGACCCTTGGCAGCCGGCCCCCGAGTCAGGGCACTCAATCACTTCTGAGCGATTAAGCCAAAGGCCAATGGTCACTATATAAAGAGCTTTTACGAACTGACCTGAACAAGACAAACAACCCATACAGAAATGGACTTGGACTATAAATAGAGGAGCAAATCCAGATGGCCAGCAAATGTATGAAAACGCTCTCAGATTTAACAATGGTCAGAAAAATATGAATTAAAGAAGCAACGAGACATCAGCTTATATCCATCAGATGGACACACATGAAAGTGTGCGACAATATCAAATGCAGGCAGGAATACGGAGGAAAGGGCGTGCTCAGCCATGTGAAGGTCTGCAGCCACTGGGGAAAGCAATCTGGCTACAGCTGTTCACATTGAAACTAAACATACCCTTTCACCCATTAATCCCACTCCTGGGAATCTGTCCTAAAGAAATAGAAACACTAATACTTAAGGACAAGGATGTTTTTTGTTTTTTTTTAATTTTTTTGGTTTTTTGGTGGCAGAAAACTGGCCCATCCAAAGGAAAAGGAAAAGAAAAATGACTGAATGAATTACGCTACACCCATCCTATACACATTTTAATAAAATAAATTCAATCATGTTTGCTACCTGGCCAAAAGGGCTGGCTAATGTGTTTTGGTGAGCCAGCAGTGTTTTTTATAAATTCCTGCAGGTTTCTGAGTCTGTACTCCTGCAAATGTTTCTATGACACACCAAGTCTGCCCTCCAAAGGTACATGGTACATACACAAACATGCGATACGTGTGCAGTATTGACATTTCCTGTGGGGGGTGGGGGTGGTGTTAGAGAGGATGTGGAGAAATCAGAGCCCTCATACACGGCTGGCAGGAATGTAAGACGCCACTGCTGTGAGAGACAGTTGGGCAGGCCCTCAATCAGTTAAACATCGAGTTACCATAGCAATTCTGCTCCTACGAATATACCCAAGAGAATTGAAATGGGGGTTCAAACAAAACCTTGAACACAAATGTTCACAGCAGCACTATTCACAATGGCCAAAATGGAAAACAACCCAAATGTCCATAAACAAATGTGGCCTATCCGTACAACGGAATATAATTCAGCCATAAAAAGGAATGAAATTCTGACACACATTATAATGTGGATGAACGTTGAAAACATGACGCTACGTGAAAGAAGTCAGACACAAAAGGCCACAAAGTGTATGATTCCATTTATAGGAAATGTCCAGGATAGGCAAATCCATAGACAGAAACAGTTAAAATAGCGAATTTTTCGTTATGTGTATTTTATCACAATAAGAAAACAATTCATAGAAGGGACAATTAGGGAAAAAAAGTCTAAAAGGGCAACTTGGAAAGATGCTATATTGGAAAAAAGGGTTGAGAAACACTGAGAAAAAGACTAGCCTGTATCTCAACACATTCAAGAGCGTCACCCTTCAAGCAAATGCCTAAATAATTCACCTTTTTTTTTTTCAAAATAATGAAGGATCTTGTTGGCCCCTGAGGTAAGCAACCACTCTTATCTCTTTCTAATCCAGGATTTGGGGTGTGTTCTTTCACACTACAATGCTTTGAGCTTAATCACTGCTTCTTGTCAACTTTTGTCTGACTCTGTGTTACTTGGAATCTTCTGAGTTACAAAAAAAATCAAGCGCCCGCTCAGGTTACCTGAGGTAACAAAAGTTCTATATGCAATTCCAGAGAAGTCGAGAAAGCTCTGGAAACTGTAAGCCTCTTAGAGAACTGAAACATACCGTCTTAAGTCAAGCACAAAATGCCATCTGTTAGAAGGTGTATCCTTATCTTATGGGCAACGAAGAAAGGAAAGGAATACTCACCATGAAACCTATGATATGCTTCTTTCTTATCACTTCAAAATTCCTTTTGACACTTCTGGTCTCAGGCATTGGTATTTTTGTTTCCTGTGTCACTCTTGTGCATCTAAAAAGGAAACTGTAACTGAAATCAGTGGATGAAGGTAACCCTACAATGTCTTCACTTTTAGAATCTGACGTATAGTATCACTTTTCAACACTCTCACATTGAGGTCCATGTTTTACACGCACTATCGTCCTCCGTGCCTCAAGAATGCTGGGGATGCAGCATTTCTTAAAAGACTTAAAAGCCATTGGCATGGTTTCTTATGCGGGCTCAGTAATCATGTAGGGGTGCCTCCTTTTGACTCCTCCTGTGGAATGTTGCCGAACATGTCTGCCCCCGCCCTACCTCACCCCTCTCCAGCCCTTGGGTTCTCACGAATTCTTCATTGCTCCACTGTTTCCCCAATCCCTCGACTCCCATTCTGTGCCTTTTGACCCCGATGCTCTTGGGGTTCACCTACCTGCAGGCAGTGTCAGCCACGGCCGCCTCACCAAAAGCAATCATTCAGACACCATTGATGGTTAGACACACTTCAAGATGTTAAAATGGGAAGAAGCAACACAAAAAGAGACGTTTCGCCTACATCGATGAAAATGGTATGCCAGGAAAAAGAAGTGCTAGTATTGTCACGATTCTCAGGATGTGGCTTCACTTGGCTGTGGCTCTGACTGCTGACTTGTTGTCTCCCCACTTCATGACTTTTGTTTACTCGTAGTCTCTGCCGGCTGTCTTCTTTCTGGTTCTCTTGGCTTTTGTACAACTCCAATGGGGGTATCTATTTCTTGCATGTCTTGTGCTCAGACGTAAAAAGAGGACCCTGGTTGATTGTTGTCACTGTCCAGCATCATCTCTAATGGGCAGAGGATATGACTGTGTCTATGATCACTGTCCAGATGTAGTGGGCTAAATGGTGACCCCCAAAAGATAATACCCACGGCCTAACCTGAGGAGCCTTACTTGTGAATGTGACCTATTTGGAAGAAGGGCCTCCGCAGATGTAATTATATTTAGGATCCCAAGATGAGATCATCCTGGATTATGGGGATGGGCCCCAAATCCCACGACAAGTGTCCTTATAAGACACAGAGAGGAGAGGCCGTGTGAAGACAGAGGAAGAGATTGCAGTGATGCAATTACAAGCCAAGAAGCGCCTGGAGCCACCAGAAACTGTTGGACGAGGCAAGAAAGGGTTTTCCCTTAGTGCCTTTGGAAGGAGCCCGGCCCTGCCAACACCTTGATTTCAGATTTCTGGCCTCCAGAGCTGTGAGAGAACACATTTCTGTGGTTTGAAGCCACCAGGTGTGTGGTAGTCTGTTGTTATGGCAGCTCCAGGAAATGAATCCACCAGTATAGGGTGCCCTTCTGAGCACAGCTTATGTGCTAGGCCACCTCACGTGCTGTCTGTCAGCCTCTGGATGACTTCCCTGGGCGTGAGCATCAACAGCTGGTCTAGTCAACCGAAGCCAGGACGGTGACATGACAATGGTATTTGAGCCATGGCTTTCTTTCCAACAGCACAGACAGTGACATGAGGGATTACGATTTGATTTTCAATAACTTCCCTGCTCCGGCCTGCTCTGGGTCTAAAACAACCATGTGTCTTCAAGCTTAGTATTGTTTTTCTCATCAACGTTAAATTGAAAACAAAGTAGTCCTAAGGCTCTTAGGCTCTAAGTGGTGTCCACGAGCCTGCACTTGGCCTCGTGGGCTTACTGAGGGATTTGCAGACATTACCTGTTGTAACCATTTCCGCTAACATTACAAGGAACTGCTGAGGCTTTTCGACCTGCCTGTGGTTAGACTTTAGTGCCTGTCTATTGACATGGAGGGTCCAATCAGAATACTTCCTCTCTTCTACACTTTCGTAGCACCCTGTACTTTGTTTCTTCTTCATAGCATTTATCACAATGCTCATTATTTCTAACTGTTTATTTAACCTCCATCTCCTCCTCCATGCTGAAAGCCCCACAAGGACAGGAACTAAGTCTCCAGTTTCTCACTTCCCCAGTGCCTTGCACGGTGCCTGACACACAGTAGACACACAATAAATGTTTGTGGAATAGAAGAACAAATGAATGTCATAGGACTTGGCGATAGGGCCACATACCAGAATCTAGAAGACAATGAAATCAATGGGCGTTCTTTGTAACACATTCCCAGCATTTCTTCAAAGTGGCTACAGGGTACGCACACCGTGCATCCACCAGAGTCCTCCTTCTAATATGTTTTAAGAGCTCCTGCTGCACATAGCCTTGATGTTTGTCATGCTGTTTCTCATGACTCTAGTTCCCACACTTCTCCGTTAAGACAGATGTTTGCAGACTACACAGTCCCCAAAGGAGAGGCCCTATGGCAGAACAAGCAAGTTCACGCCCTTGAACAGAATACACATTGCTCTAATAATATAGGGAGGGATGGTTGGTAGAGAACTTGCCTACCTATGTCGTGGTCACCACCTTCTCTGAAAATGGCCCACCTCCAAGTGACTGTGTCCTTTGAAGGTGGCTGAGTTCCAACCCAACTACAGGGTGCGAATCTTGACTACTTTAAGCCAATTGTGGTAGTCCTGTTCTCCTTGCCAAGACACTGCTGTAGGCATGGAGATGTGACAACAATTCTGAAAGGAAGATGTGAGAGGAAGTCTTCTTAGGAATGCTTTTCAGGAAATTTCCCAGCAATTCCACTCCTAGGTATATACCCCAAAGAACCAAAAATTGGTTACTCAAGCAGATACATGTACAGGTATGTTCATAGCAGCATTATTCACAGTAGTCAAAAGGCAGAAACCTGGGGGAAGGGTTCTCACCTTGAGGTGTAAAAAGTATAACTATTGCACTGTGTTGTACAGCTGAAACTAATTCTAAAAAATGTGTATTTCACAATAAAAAATAATAATTTAAAAAAATAATTAAAAACAAACAAAAAACATGTCCGAAGATGGAACGCAATCATTTATGAGGCACCAAATTAGATTCTTGGGTTGCTATAGTTGTTCAGAGAACAGAGATTTCTAGGTGTTACCTTGACAATGAATAGAGCAAATTGCTCATGATGTTTGTTAGTTTGCAATGGTAACCAAGATTCAAATTCACAGGTCATAACAGAGGAGAACAAACTTCCAAAGCATTTATAATTTATCCTCTTCTTAAATATATATTATATATATTTAAAATAAAACCTATTCTCACTAAATTCTTAAAAAAAAAAAAAAGACAGAAACTACCCATGTCCACTGACAGAAGAACAGATAAACAAAATATGGTGAATCCATACAATGAAATATTGTAAAGAAGAAGGAAGTGTTGATGTGGTGCTTCCTACAATGTGGATGAACCTCGAAAACATGACTAAGTGAAAAAAGCCACACAAAAGGCCCACCCAATATTGTATGATTCTAGTTATACAAAATGTCCGGAATAGGCAAATCCTTAGAGACAGAAGGCATATTAGTGGTTGCCCAGGGATCAGGGAGAAGGGAACGGGCAGGAGCTGTTCGGTAACTATCGGGTCTCCTTTGGGGGTGATGAACTAGATCGAAGTGGTGGTTGCAAACATTGTGAATGCACTAAGTGCCACTGAATTGTTCACTTTAAAAATGGCTCATTTTTTTTCTCAATATAATTGAAAATATATATATGGTTCATTTGATGTCATGTGAATTTCACCTCAATTAAAAACAAAACAAAAAAAAAAAAACCTTTGGAAATTTTTGTCTCAGGATGTGATGTTTGGGGCAGCTGAGCCCTTTTGTATTGTGAGGAGACAAGTTAAGGACTAACCAGGACATTCAACGATGGCCGAGTGGAAAGATAGAAAGAGCCTGGACTCTTGATTACATCACCGGCAAGGAAGGTCTGGGAATCTGATCTCCACGGTTCTGATTATGCAGCATAGCAAATGCCCTCTTTGCTTAAAGCCATTTCTTGTTGGGTTTTCTATTACTTGCAGCCCAAAATGCCCTAATTGATAGAGACTTCAAGCTTCTGAAAAAGCAAGCCAAAGGCATTGCAGCTTTGCAAGGCAAAGGCATTGCCAGCATTGGAGGTAAATAGCTAATGATGAAGACTTCTCAGAAGCTGTTGATTCTCAGGGTTGAGTATAGATTGTGTGTGTGTGTGTGTGTGTGTGTGTGTGTGTGAGAGAGAGAGAGAGAGAGAGAGAGAGGGAGATTCCCACACACACTCCCTGTTGTCTCTAGCCATCCTTACTCTTTCAAAAACGGGATGGACTAGCTTCAGGAGCAATACTGAAATAATTATAGTTGTCAGGTCTGAGTACTACAGGGAAAATGGAATCACTAGTCACACCACTGAGTTTGTATGGCTTCTCTCGGGATTTGGGAGCTTAGCCTCTAACACTGAAAGGTGACCAAACAGTGTAGAAAAATCATGGTTTCTCTGTGTGCGATGTCAGTTCTACGCGGTAAAAGGTGAGCACTTCTCTTTTCAAAGTCAGGTTGACTTTTCTGCATCACTAGGCTGTGACTGGGAGAAAGCAGAGAAAGATAAGTGGTTCCCTCCCCTTTCCCTCACTTCTCCATGGTTCTGGAAAGCCCTGTCATGGCTCCTCTATGAAGTTCCTGCTCTACTCCACACATAGAAAGGTTGCAGAAAAAGGATAATGCAGCTGGGTGGGTTTTTATAAGGGCATTTAAGCACTAATATTAGGGATTAGTACTTAAAGTGTTGTTAGATTTGATCTCGCTCTTACCATATTTCTTGGCACTTAGTCCTAAGTTATTGTGTAATGTGTAAACTATGAAAATAAACGACTTAAATTGCCTACAGTAAAAACCTGTTTCATGGCTAATGGATTAAGGGAAAGTGGCCCTTTGTCTATGCTAATGAAGGTGCTACATTTGTACGTAAAGGTTACAGGGAATTGGCTGTGATGAAAATGAATTAAGATGTATTCCTCTGAGAATATCTAATAGGGATATGGAGTTACATTCCTCTCTGTCTTCATATCTTGCTTGTTTTTTTTTTCCCCTACTCAGCTGGGAATTCATATATTCAATGGGTCTTATCTAGAAAGAGGTGAGTTGTTTATTCCAGAGGTCCTGAATCTCCTGGAATGTGAGGTATTTCCAAAACAAAAAGTAAGTGTGCTAAAATAAAAGGAAACCAAACACAAAATCCTGCTGACTTTCAGAGGGCTGCCAGGATGAGGACACTGAGTGAAATCTAAACCACTGCCAAGGTCCTGAGGGGACGGAGCGGGGGGAAAGGGGGGTCTGCCTCTGACCCAGCTGCAAAGAAAGGAAGAGGGAAGAGGAATAAAAAATTGTTCTTTGAGAACTGCCTTTCTAGTTACTCTGAACCACTTTGAAAACAGTTGATTTCTGAGCTTTTTCTATGGAGTCAACAGGATAATTTAAATACATGTGAGATTGGTTAACACAACCAAACCCACGGGACCCAGAGCCGAGGACTAGGTTTTGTTTAAAAATCTAAAAAATTGAAATCTCTAATTATCAAGAAACACTAAAGAAATATACATTGTTTATTAATTAGAATCATGGGTGAAAATCAGTAAAGACTCAGCAATAAAAATCCAAAACAGAGTGTGATTATCTTTTAAAAGAATATGGTTTCTGGGCCAGCTGAGTGGCTCAGCTGGTTAAGAGCGCAAGCTCTGAGCAACAGGGTCGCCAGTTCAATTCCCACATGGGCCAGTGAACTGCGCCCAAGTTGAGCTGCCAGCAAGTGGCAGGATGGTTCAGGTGGTGAGAGCATGTGCTCCTAACAATAAGGTTGCTGGTTCAACTCCTGCATGGGATGGTGGGCTACACCCACCCGCAACTAAGATTGAACACGGCACCTTGAACTGAGCAGCCGCAAGCTG